TAAGGTTTACGTAAACTAACTAACACAAAATGTTTGTTAGCAAGAAGTTTTGGAGAAAAAAAACTTAAATCTATGAAGTGGCAGTGTTTGCATTTCTTTGATGTTATTTTTCTAACGTTCATGTAACTGCAACTACAAAGCTTTAGCTTTTCTGCTGGTTTATGTTTACAAAAATATACAATACAAAAAAAAAATTTCTTTTTTTTTTTTCGCTTTTTGAAGGATAAAAAAAAACGAGATGGTAAAGTGGAAGAAAAAAAAAAAAAGAATTTTGTTGATAAAAGATTTGGCATTGAAAAATAAGAAAAACATAAGGAGAAGGTAAAGATTGGCGAGGAAGTGGAGAGTATGGAGAATATTTGTCCAGTTGTTTTGCTGCTGCTAAATTCTTTTGCTTTTCTTTCTTTTTTTTTTCTTTTTGCTTCTTTTTTTTTTGTTTTGTTTTGCGTATATAATCTGTTCATGTTACTTACCAATACTTATAAGATATTCACCACAATCGTTGCTTGGTTAAACCTGATGTAAACAGGAGTAAGAAAAAGTAGGAGAGCAATAAAAAAAAACTGAAATTCAACTGGTTGCTGACTGCATATCTTTTTCCCATTTCCTCCTCTTCATTTTCTTCTAGAATTTTTTCAAATTCATGTTTAATGTAAGCTTAAAACGATGAATAAATGAGGAAAGAAGTTCCTCTGTTAACTGTTGTTATTCACTTTTACTGGTCTTCTGTTTCAGGTGCTTTCGCTTAACACTTACTGCTTTTTACAACTCTGCTATTGCCGATTACATAACTGTTATGATATTGCACCCTCTTTTCTCCTTTGCTTTTTCCTCCTTTAATGGCAATAATCAGATATTCATTATTGATCATAACTTAAAATCGATTGACAGTAATCTATGCGTAAAAACGAAAATAATTTTCATGCATTCAGCTTATCCAAAAAACAGTATGCATAACAGAAAATAAAAAAACTATTTGTTTATTCCTTCAACTTCTTAGTTCTTATCGACTGTTGCACTGTAACTTATAAGTTATATAATAATAAATATGAACAATAAAAATGTAATTGTAGTAATAGTGGTAATTACAGCTAAAATAATAATTTTATTGATAATAGTTATAATTACAGTGATTATAACAGCAATGAGGAGAGTAGCAAACAGGTATCAATTTTACATTCAAATAATCACGGGTAAAAGAATCATCAGAAATTTTTCAATTTTTTTTTTTTTTTTT